ATTGGTGGTTCTGAAATACAAGCAGCGACAAGCGATACCAATCGGATCTTCTCCGCCGATTTTTACGACGGATGCACCAACAATCGAAGACCCAAATGATGAAGTATGGCACGAGGCCAGCGAACGAAGCGATGACGAACAAACTCATCAATGAAATCGTTTGAGATTCTTCAATACAACGTACACAAATCGTGGCCAGTGATGGCAACGTTCCTCAGAGACAGAAATGTCCTCGCGGCGGACGTCGTCGCGGTGCAGGAGCCATGGAAGAACAAAATGCAACACACAACACACCAACCAGCGACGGCAACATTCCAGCTAATTTACCCACCAAAAGCAGCTGCCGACGGAACAACCCAAGGCCAGGACAATCAAGTCCAAGCCTCGGATCTCTCCCAACCGGGCGTATGCCTGTTTGTGTCTAAAAGGCTTGACCCGAGCACTTGGTCGTGTCAACTCGTCTCACAGGACTACCAGTTACTGAAACTTAGAAAGGCTCATCAGGGCAGAGACTGGACAGATCTCTTCATACACAACATATACAATAGGCCGGGCAGCAATACTCTTAGACATCTGAGAAATGAGCTGTCAAAACGACCTCATGGAGAACACATCATCCTTGGAGATATGAACGCGCATCACCCGAGATGGGGAGGAACAGGGACCAGGCTCGATCAGGAGGCCGAGCAACTCCTAGAAATCGCCAACGAATGGGGACTCGAGTTGACGACCCAACAAGGCAGACCTACCTGGTCTCGAAACGATCAGTCGTCGGTGATTGACCTCACCTTCATCACATCCAACCTTGTCAACAGGCTTATCAATTGCGAGAGGGCGGATGACATCGAACACGCATCCGACCATTTCCCGATCAGGACTGTGCTTGATATTATTACACCCATTGCAGTACAACAGAAGAGAAGAAACTGGAACGCAACCGATGATCAGAAACTCATCCAGAAGATCGAAGGAGGTCTACGGACAGGAGGCCTATACCGGGCAAATCCGCAAAGGATAGAAGCCAAATGCCAGGAGCTGATGGGAGCGATCCAAACAGCAATCGAGGAATCAACCCCATGGGCAAAACCATCCGCGTGGTCGAACCCCGACTTTGACGACGAGTGTAAAGTTGCGGTCAAAGAGGTTCGTCGCCTCCGTCGCAAACATACGAGAACTCAAGACCCCTACGACTGGATGTGCTACTCTGAAGCACGCAACAGAAAAACACGACTCGTCAAGAGAACCTTGTCAAGGGCGCACCGGCGCCGAGTCCAGCAGGTCATTGAAGATGGCCCACAGGGTATGTGGCGATTGGCTAAATGGGCAAGAAACCGAGATGGGGCCTACGAGAAGGGTATCACCCCTTCGCTGAAAATACAGGATCCCCAAATGCCTGGAACTCTCGCAGAAACAGTTGATCAAAAGGCAGAGGCATTCCGGATTGCCTTCTTCCCCAAACCGCCGCCAGCCGATCTATCCGACACGGACTCATTCCAGTACCCACAGCAAATCGAGTTTCCAGCAGTCACCGCTCAAGAGATACAGGAGGCGGTGCGAGGAGCGAAAGCAGGGAAAGCACCCGGAGAAGACGGTATACCAAACTCTCTCTGGCACAAGCTTATCGAGATACCGGTGGTTCTAGCAACAATGGTCCAGTTATTCAACGCATGCATAAACACGGGATACAACCCGTCACATTTCCAGCGCTCAATCACGGTGGTGCTCCGGAAGCAAGGCAAAAGTGACTACCAGCTCGCAAAATCCTACAGACCCGTCGCGTTGCTGAACACGCTCGGAAAGTTTCTGGAGGCAGTTGTCGCGCGACGGATCAGCTACGCAGCAGAAACCAACGGTTTACTCCCACGAACCCATCTAGGCGGACGAAAGGGTATATCCACCGATCATGCTATCCACATTATCATCGACCGAATCAAAACTGCATGGGGAAAGGGCAAGCCAGTGGTATCTCTGCTGATGCTGGACGTGTCCGGAGCGTACGACAATGTCTCCCATGAACGTCTACTACACAACCTCAAGAAACGACGTCTGGGACACTTCGTTCCCTGGGTGAGGGCCTTCTTGACCAACCGAAGCACACGGATCCGCATGCCCGAGGGCACATCTGATCGAATCCCGACACCTACAGGCATCCCTCAAGGATCACCGATCTCACCCATTCTATATCTCATCTACAACGCAGACCTCGTTGAGAACTGCGGTAACGGTGTGACTAGCAACGGGTGGGTCGACGATGTTTGCTTCATGACAAAGGGAGACAGCGAACGCGAAACCATCAAGAAACTCAGAGCGGCATGCCGCAAAGCCGACCAATGGGCCGAGAAACATGCATCAGTTTTTGACCCGAAGAAGTATGCACTCGTGCATTTTGTAAACACCAGGGAAGTCGACCCACAACACACATCGCTTTCTCTACGAGGACACACGGTGACAGCGACGAGGACGGCTGAGCGGTACCTAGGCTATTGGCTGGATCCGGGTCTGGAATTCCACCATCACCGCGAGAAAGCGGTGGCCAAGGCCGGTGTCTCTCTCCACGCACTACGAAGCCTGGCAGGATCAACGTGGGGAGCCTCACTCTATGCAATGCGAAAGATCTACCAAGCGGTGATAATCCCGCAGATGCTCTTTGGGGTTTCCGCGTGGTATCAACCTATGCTCATCAGTCATTCCAAGGCACGCATAATCAGTCGGCCTTTCGTGGCAATCCAGAAGCAGGCAGCATGTCTCATCAGTGGAGCTTTCAGAACTACGGCAGCAGAGGCACTGAATGCAGAGCTTCACCTACCGCCTATTTCTGTTCACATGAATCGACTGGTGAAAGAAACGGCCCTTCGACTACGGACAGGACCAAAGTTCGCTGTCCCGCCAACGATGTTACGTCGACGACCGGCAGATGAGAGAGACTGGGCTGGATGGTCACCGATGGAGGCGCAAGCTTGGAAGGCGGGCGGATGTCTTATGGCTCCCCCGGATACTTTGACGAGGAAATGGGAGAGTCGAAAGGCATTCGTCCTGGCACCATGGCAAGCGCCACCAGAGGTAATCATCGAGGAAAGAGAAGCTGCGGTGAACAATCACAACCAGATCCTGATGAAAGACCCAAGAGAAAGACCCTTGATTCTGTACACCGACGGGAGCGGAATTGATGGAAGGATAGGAGCGGCAGCGGTCGTGGACCTTGAGGATCAACATGCTCATAGCCAGATGGGAGATGATAATACGTCCACCGTATATGCGGCAGAGCTTCGAGCCATTGAGATGGCACTTGAAATGGTTCTGGAAAGCACAGAGCCATGGGCTAAGCAGGCGAAAAACGGGGTAGTCATCTTTGTAGACAGCCAAGCAGCGCTGAAGGCGCTGAGACGACCGCGGATGCCGTCAGGACAGGTCTATCTAGCAGGATGCCTCAACCTGATCCGACAACTTGCGGGCAGAAGCATTCGGACAGAACTCAGATGGATTCCTGCGCACCAAGGAGTCATTGGCAACGAGATCGTGGACCAACACGCAAAAGAAGCGGCGCAGGAACAGGACGGGCTGCATAACCCCCTCAACCGAGACATATGTCTCGCAGCCGCAGCGAGACGACGAATTCGCAGAGAAGCGAAGCTGGAGTGGGACAGAACGTGGGCCAAGGAAGCGACCAGTCGTCCGACGAAACGCTTGATTGAAGCACCAACAAAGAAGACGCTGGAATACTGGACGGGCTTGCGCAAAGCGACGACATCGATTCTGATGCAGCTTAGAACTGGGCGAATTGGCCTAGGGGCTTACCTGAATCGTATCAACCGACGCGAAACAGCGCGGTGTGATTGCGATCTTGGCAGCCAAACAGTAACACACGTCCTACTGGAATGCCCCTTGCACCAGGACGAGCGAGACTGGATGAGAAGCGCTCTCTCATACCAGGGAGTCGCTCTCCACCGGGACGAACTCCTCACACGACCGGAGGCCCGCACAGTTGTGGCCGAATTCATGGTCAAGACCGGCCTCCTAGGCCAATTTCAGACAGTCGACCCTACGGCTCTGGGCGAGGAAGGGGACGACAAAGGAGCGGAGACAATGATCCCTTAGACAGTGTGACGGAAGAAGAAGGATGGCGCCCATTAGGAGTGCAGTGCCAGGTCCACTGTACTCCCTTGATCCAAGCGAGCGCGCAAGCGGCAGCCGACAAGACTGGACAGTTGGAGAGAAGAGGGCGTGGGAATGGTGTGTTGAAGCGGGACCCTGGTCCTACCCGCGACCAGGGGTAAATGACGTTCATTTTGGCTTTGTGTTTATCATGTTTGCATCCGTGCATTTCTTTTGTTTAGTTTACGTCTTTCGATTCGAGGGCGATTGATCAGAAATTCGCAAGGCGAGTTCCCTGACGGTCGCCCAGTGGGCTGGCGACCACCTTCCAGCTGTCGGCAGGCCTGACAGCACTCCCGCATAGCAGCATATATATAGAGCGAGCTACATCGGGCAAATGAATACATCATCATCATCATCATCATCATCATCAACGGTCCGTATATCAAACTGGTGAATTTACTATAACGTAGATCAAGGTGGTCTGAAGACTAAGAGTTGTGAATTCTTGATTTAAGATAAATAATAAGACACATCTATAGATAATAAGACACATAATATAATATTATAATAATAATAATAATAAGACACATATAAGACACATCTATAGATTGTTTCGCACCACGTGATACCGGTTTTCCGTGCTCTCACGTGCTCCGTCGTGCCCTGCACCAGTGCCCTGCGGTACATACGGTTCCCTGCTCTGGTGTTCTCCGCCTGCTCGCCGCCTGTAGGGTTAACCCATGTAACTATGCTGCCCAACATCTCATGCGTGTGTTTGCGCGTCTGGCCCGTCGCCTTCCCTCCTCTTTCTCCAGAGTCTGTGCACCGACGTGCCGCCGCGTCCCTCTCGCTGTGGTGTGGGAGATGTCCACCATGCCTCCCTTCTACCATCACTCTGGCCTTCGATGGCGTCCGTGTCGGAGGATCGCGTGTTGTGCTCTCAATGCGCCCGTCCTTGGCAGTCCAGTCGATATAGAACCTGCTCTCGCTGCCAGGTCCTGGCACGTAACCGCCTTGCCAGATCCAGATTGCTTCCTACCACGGTGCCGCCGTCCCTGCCTGCTGCCCCCGCCCGTTCTTCATCTCTGCCGTTCGCGGGCCTGTCTGGACAGCGTGTGCTCTGTTCACGCTGTGCACGACCTTGGCAGTCGCCTCGGTACAGGGTCTGTGATGACCGCCGCCATAAGGCTCGCATGATGCGGCGGCGACGGCGTCCGGTACCTGTAGCTGCTTCTGTGGACCCGGGCGCGCAAGTGCTGCCCGTTCTTCCTTACATCCGTGGACCGTCTATTATTCCAGTGCAACCTCTATGGTGGACACGCCTTACCCAGGCCGCAGTCCGGCCCTTCTCTCAGGACTGGTCAAAGGACTGCTCCTTCTGCGGTATTCCCCTTCTTTCTACTGAGGCTGATGGCTGGTGCTGTCGGCGAGGCCGCAGACGCCTACCTCACCTACCACCATTCACGCCAGCTGTGCAGTCTCTCCTGGACCGGTATCAAGGCCGTGTGTCTGCCATGAGCCGTCGGCTCCATAACCTGTTTGTCTTCTCCGCCATCGGCACCACTGGCCAATTCGTTCGATTCCAAGGTCAGGCGAACGTGGTCCTAGAAGGCCGGATCTACCACCGTTTGCTGGATGTCGCGGATACGGGTCACAGCATGCACTGGTTTCTTTATGACGAGTCCGAACGAGGTCTACGGGCAAGGCATCATGACATCCCTAATGACATTCTACATGGGATACACGATTTTCTCAGTCTGGTTAATCCCTATGTGCGGACCTTGCGGCACGCCGTCAGCCAGGTCCCGGACCAAACAGTCGCCCTCGCTGTTGAGCTCTCTATCCCGCCTGCGGGTGGTGAGCTCGCTGCAGTTATCACTACAGAAAATCTCCGCCGCGTGGCCCCGCGACAGGTCGTCTTTTACAGAAAAGGTGGCCAGCAGCCACGGTTCGTTCCGACCCTGTCTTGCCAGTACGAGCCGCTGCAATATCCACTTCTCTTTCCACATGGCACGCGAGGTTGGGGCTTTCTCGACGAGTCCCGGAAAAACATACCTTGCACGCTGATCCAATGGTACCGCCACCTGTTCCTGGGCGAGCCACGCATGCGGATCTATGGCCGTTTGGCGTGTGAATATGCTGTGGACATGTTCTCGCGGACGGAGGAGGAGCGCCTGCACTATCTCAAACGGGGCCGACGCATGCAAGCTGCTGCCATGGATGAGGCTCCAAATCCTGACATCCCCGATCTCTTCGAGAACAAAATCCCTGCCGGTTTCATGGGGTCCCGGGCCTGGGCTTCGGACCAGGTGGCTGACTCCCTCGCGATCGCGCGACAGCTGGCCAAGCCGTCACTGTTCCTCACCATGACGACCAACCCTAACTGGCCCGAGATTCAGTCCCAGTTGCTCGCAGGCCAACATTTCACAGACATCCCTGCGGTGGTGTGCCGTGCGTTCCACGGACGACTCTGTGGGCTGAAGGCCTTTATGAGGGAGAAATTTGGAGGCCTCCTGTACGAGATATGCGTTACAGAGTTCCAGAAACGGGGTCTACCACACGCGCATCTGGTCGTTAAGCTCCAACATGAATTACCTTTGAGCCAACTAGATGGCTTCATCTGCGCCGAGTTACCAGATCCGGACGAGGACCCTGCCCTACATGCAGCGATCGGCAGATTCCATATGCACTCACAGAACCACTTGGACCGGTCCACGTCACGCTGTAACCGAGACGGCCGCTGCATTTACGAGTACCCTCAACCTATCAACAACCAGACATGGATGATCTTGGTCGTGTCCATTACCGCCGACGCAAGCAGGAAGATCGATGGGTGACTCCTCCTGTACCCGCCCTAGTGCACCTGCTCGACTGCCATATCTATGCGGACGTGTGCTCTACAGCGACGATCTTCCTTTACCTGTTTAAGTACCTCTTCAAAGGACCCGATCGGGCGCGCTTTGGTATTCGGGCCCTCCACGATGCCCGGGCAGACAATGAGGACGACCAAATAGATGAGTTCAGAGACGATATGAACGCCCGTTACCTCTCTTCGTCCGAGGCTGTCTACCGCATCCTCAACTTCCATACTGTCTCCAAACGTCCTGGTGTCCGCTGCCTCTCTGTCCATCTGGAAGGCAAGAACTTAGGGAGGATGCACGATCGAAACCAACCGGGTTACTCCGAGATGAGCGACCTGTTGTGGTACTTCAAACGCCCATCCACAGAAACCTTCTCAGGCTTGAAGTATACCGAGTTCTTCAGCCTTTTCTACCTAGAGACGGTGCCCCTGGATGTTCCACTACACAGAGGTCAGACCCTCATTGCTACTGTCACCACCGAAAAGGGACCATGCCAAAAGGTGTTGCGCCGTCGAGTCAGCCAGCCTATTGTCACCCGACTTCAGACCGTCCCACTTCGTCTGAAGGAAACGTTTTACCTACGCGCACTGCTCCAGGTGCGGCCAGCGAACAGCTTCGAAGATGTCCGCACTATCCGGGGGCACTGCTATCCCACATACCAGGAGGCTGCCACTGAGTTAGGACTCTTCCAGGATAACCACGAGGCCGTGTACGCGATGAATGAAGCGATCACAGCATACAGCCGCCCGTCCCAGCTCCGCTTTCTCTTTGCCCAGCTTCTGTCTAACCTTCCATTTCCAGCTGTGGAACTATGGTCCCGCTTCCACGGCGATCTCAATGCTGACTATAGACTACGTCACCCTACGGCCCACGCCACAGACCTTGCCTTGCAGGACCTGGCACGCTATCTCTCAGCACAGGGATCGTCCTTGGCACAGTGTGGCCTACCGGAGCCCGTTCAACGTTGTGCGGAGGTGGATTTGGAACTTGCCTTCTTCCAGACCCAACTGGTATCTATCCGCGGGAGGCATAAGGAGGCCTACGGTAGGATGAATTCGGATCAAAAAGGCATCTTCGATCATCTCCTAGACCAATCGGACATTGGCGGCTGCTACTTCATCGACGGCCGTGCGGGTCGCGGGAAGACATTTTTGATGAGCGCCATGTGTGATCGCGTTAGGGCAGACGAGCGCATCGTATGCGTGACTGGAACCACCGCCCTCAGTGTGATCCATTACGAGCGGGGTCGGCCGGCCCACTCGGCCTTTGGCATTCCTGTTCAGGAGTCTGACATGGGCTTGGTGTCTAAGGTCAGCCCCCAGTCAGGTCGTGCAGAGCTCCTACGCCAGGCCTCGCTCCTGATCTGGGAGGAGCTGCCGATGGCGAAGAAGGCGGTCGTGGAGTGTGCAGACCAGCTCCTTCAAGATATCATGAGGAATGACCTGCCATTTGGAGGAAAACTCTTCATTGGACTAGGCGACTTTCGTCAGGTGGCACCAGTCGTCCGCAGAAGTTCTGGGCCTACAGCAACTGTCAACAGCTCTATCCGCACCTCCACGCTCTGGAACCACTTTAAGGTCCTGCGGCTGACTACCCCGGTCCGACAGGCCGGGGATCTGGTATACGCAAGATGGGTGGACCAGGTAGGAGATGGTGTACACCCCTATGAGACAAGTGTGCCACTGCATCACTTGCAGCATCTTGACGACCTTGACGCTGCGGCAGACTTCCTCTTCCCACAAGATTCCGTCTCTACCTCCGCCGCTGCTGTCCAGCACGCATTCCTTAGCCCGTTTAACGCGCGCGTTGATCTGTTTAATAAGCTCATCTTAGAACGGTTACCGGGGCGTGCAGGTATTCCGATTTTTGCTAATGACTATTCCCTGTAACATGATTCTAATCGCTTGACGCAACTCACCCTTCATGCTCCTCTGGCTAACCTTCCACTGCGCCAGAGACCTATTACAGTCATGATACGATTAAAGAACTAGACGATTCCACCTTCAATCTCCCCACGGGTGCAGAGGCGGATCTTCTCTCGGTATTGAACGAGCCCGGAACCCCCCGCATGAGCTCTCACTCAAAATTGGCGCCGTTGCTAGCGTGATGCGGAATCTCTCCATCGAGAAAAACTTGGTCAAAAACGTGAGGGTCCAGGTGGTTAATCTGCTACCAAATGTCGTGCAGGTACGGTTGCTGCGACGAGCATGCACGCCTGGCACTGAGTCGCCGACGTTCTACCTGCCACGGATCACATTCGAGTTTCGGCCTCACCGCGCGAATTGGACGGTGCAACGGCGGCAATTTCCCCTGCGTCTAGCTTATGCCACCACCTTCAACAGCTGCCAGGGACTCACCCTGGACCGGGTTGTGCTAGATCTCACCCTGCCCGTCTTCGCCCATGGCCAACTTTACACTAGCTTATCCCGCGTCCGCTCTGCCGTAGACATCCGTATTCTCCGAGACCCAAATGACATAGAGCAAGACACCATTAATGTCGTTTATCACGAATTGCTACTGCCTCTGTGACAGCAGATAATGGGGCGAAATTCGACCTTTATGCAGCCACCATGGCGACGTTCGAGATTCACATATATAGAACCTACGTTGAGAGCTTTTATTTAGTCCCATAACATCGATATTTCAAGAATGAAACTCCCTACCATCCTACTCGCCGCGCCCAGTAGCAGCGGCCGAAGGCCGCTGCCAACGCGACTCGTATTTGAAAAAGAAGGTTGTCGAAGACTCGATATCTACAACCACGTGAGCGCTGTTGTGTCACGACAGCATCTCCATGAGGCTCTTCAGGCAGGACGAGTAAACGCCGCTGACTTGATGACTGATCAACCGAGTCGCTATCCACACCTCCATTTCCCCACTGGTTCCATACAGTGCCTTCATGGACAACATCGACTAAAGGCTGGAGAACACTGCTTACCACTGATCGACCAATGGTGGACTGTTGACTTGTACTTGGAGGGTAAGCCAGAAATTCACCACTTGCTTTCCCCCAGTTTTGACAGCCCCAAGACATTAGTCCCGGTCTTCAAACAAGTCTCGTTGATGAGTATTCCAACGAGAGAGTCCCAAGCGATGGTGAGATTTACATAAAAGTTCGACAATATCGAAACGAACCAAACGCACACTTCGAGAATCGATGGTTGGCTCGGCTGTCAAACAACAAAGCCAGGCGGCTCCGCGGACTTGAGTCTCATCCGAGCGTCCGAGCTGCTTTTGATTCGATACTCGTCTTGCCCTCCTTGATGATACATGGAATGCAAATCGGATCTCTTCCGCAGGCTCTGGCTATTTGTTGCGACGAGGTAAAATCATCTGTCGGACTCCAACGTAAAGAGATGCTGATTACGATCGTAGGAGATAGTTCACGCGCTAACTAGGCTACTGCAATATTGGTCTTCACTCGTGGAACACAACCGTACTAAGATGCTCAAAGTTGACCCTCATACAGTGGAGATATTGCAACTCCTGGCACCTGGAGTCTCCTCGAAGGATAGAATCACCGTGAAAGGCCTTGTACACAGTGGCGAAGTCTTTTCAAACTTCACACAATCCGAACGTGCCTCGATTTGGAAGCGACTGAAGAAGACTGAAGACATAATTCCATCCCTGTATACGTTCTTCAAAGATCTACGGTACCTAGAATCATGCGCGAACTGCATCAAACGACTTATCACTCCTTCCAGATCTTTCCCAACGATCAAAATCACCATGCGCGCGGCATTCGTGTCCTCCGATCCCACCTACGCGCAGTTCTTGATACAGACATCCGAATCTGAGTTTCGGTCTTATTCGGACTCCCAGGGAGACCCAGCAGAACTTGGATATCGACAACTCTGGCTCTATGCTATGCGACATTACCCAAACTTATTCAAAAAGCCGCCGAGGAAAGACGGGAAAGACCCCATGGCGAAGCCTAATCGTGAAGTGGTGGAGCCTATGATACTGTATGACATGGCTGTGCTCGCAAAGAGACTTGGGTTTCACTCGCCACAGATTGAACAGCTCATCCAGCAGTCGCCAGATCGGCAAATCGCGCAAGATGCTCTTTTGAAAGCCCGGCGACCAGATCGTTATCAGTATAACAAGGAAGAAATCGAGTCACTGATCAACAAAGTCACCGAATGCTTCTTGAGGGCCGTCCCTCACGACCAGAAGCTTCCGGTGCAGTTCGTTGGTGGAGGAGAACTCAAGAAAGAATCTCGATGTGGATATCCGCAAGCCGAAGCCCAATTACGAGATTGTCAATTCCTTTTCATTGATCAGCTCCATGGTGACTCACTACAAAGGGAGCGAAAAGCCACCTCCACTTTGGTGAGGAGGAGTGTCTATTTTACCTCTTTCAGCAAGATGCCAATGCCCCGTGTGAATAACGACACGGCGGGCAGATCTCCAAACCCTGAATTGCCAATGTCTCCGCTTTTCGTTTCGAGCAATCGTTCGCCGCAAAACGAAGGAGGGGAGATTGGGTCTGCGGGTCCAGGAGCCAGACGGGATAGCAGCTTAGAGCGACAACGCTTGAAAGAAGCACGTCGAGAGCGACGTCAGCAGAAGCGAGCGAAGAAGCTACGGAGGCGACAGCAACGACAGCAGCGGAGGCAACGATTCTCACGTGCCGACTGGCATTCGATATCTTCTTCCAGAAACTTGTCACCATTATCTTCCGGATCTGACAAGGAGACCGCACGCATTGATTCGGAAGGCGGCGGGTTAGGAGAGGTATTGGAGCCAACATCCGAGACAGAATTCGTGCTAGTTGAAAGTAGGGGTATAATAGATGGAAATGAGCAGGGTCTTCCTGATAAGGAACCTCCCGTAGCCGATGAACTCGAGCACGGTGAGCCTACAGAGGAGGATCACGGTTTCAGCGAAGGTGAAGAATCAGAAGATAGTCACGCGGAACTGGGATCTGAGGACGAGCAGCCGCGGGGAGGGGCTGAAGAAAGTATAGCTGGAGGAGAATACCTGGAAGATGACAATATGGAAGAGCATGCAAGCGAACAAGACAATGAAGCGGCAGAATCAGCAGTGCAACTTTCTTCGGCGAAAGAAGTTGAAAGAGCACTGGAAATGTTAGAAGGACGTGAGACGTCGGATATCAAATCGGGGCCCTCTAGGACTGTGGGCAGAAAAGGTGCAGCGTTGCGTGAGAAGGCCAAGTTCAGTCCATATGACCGGACACAGCGGCGCCAACAAACCCGCAAGATATCAACACCGCCACAGGAGACTCTGGAGCAGGATATAAACGCACTCTTACAGACGGCTACCCCGGAACAGACAACGAGACGTATTACTGACATCAATTTCCTCGAAGCACAGCATCCTCCTTTATTGGGAGCAAATGAAGAGCAGAGCCCGCGGCCCGTGGCTAGTCAAGTTGACCTGACTCAGGACCACCAACAGGCACCGGAAGAAATATTACGCTCCGTCGAGTTCGAACCGCAGTCAGAAATTCCGAGCTCGATTGATCAGAACTCTAGACGCCATGGACTAATGAATACCCGGTCGGAAGGACAGTGGTCAGAGTCTGTCCCGCCGGACGCTTCGCCGCAGTTTCAAGTCATAGCAGATGCTACGCAGGAAGGCACGGTGAGGGAGCGCCCCTCGTTATCACCACAGCGAGAGTCTTCCACGCAGACCGATGTGAGCACACGCATGAACAGAGTCAGATTAGAGAAGCTGCCCGAGAAACAAGACAAGTCTCGTGGACGAGGAGAAGGAGCAAGCGATGCAGCCAAGCGCTCTGCGGTAACAATCATGTTCCGTGCACGTGATGAACACGGCGACTGGAATCGCTTGGTCCACCACATGGTGGTGGACCTATCCGATCCGACTCCTGTGGAGCGAATGGCGTCCAAGAATGCGCGAGCACACAAGGCAACCTTTTATGACCAGAATCTACGGCAGGTCCCTCCTAGGCAGTGCTTCGATGCGGCGATTGAGGATGGCACGAACACGATCTTTATGACTTTCGGCGACGATCTGGTTGTGAGCGAGGAAACGGTGAATTCGATCACACGGGCACTTCAAGCTGATTGTGATTCCGATCGGCCGGCAAAACGTCGGCAGTAGACTTAAGAGGAATAGATGCAGTTAAGATCTAGATCAAAGTACTTGTGACCAATACAGACTGTAGTTAGAAGATCCAGTCCCTTTGGGGTTCATAAGCCAGGGTGGCCGCCAGTTGACAGTTTGAAAGCCCACCTAGACCGGGAGCTATGGACGTACGTCCAAAGTGGATCCACGTCCACCGCCCTCAATCTGTGGCCTCGAATCAACTGTACTTGTTGAATATCACTGCGGCTAAGCTTATGGATGGGATTAGGGTCGGAGATATAAAGACGGGCTACCCCTCTTCTGTAAATAAGTGAATAAGAATCAACCTTACTATCACTTATCTTAACAGGTTATGAGCCCGGGTTGCTCACACAACACTTGAGAACTTCATTTAAAGGCTAAGTCTCCACTTGAAATGATAGGTCTATCAAGTGAATCGATTGATTAACACCGTCAAGGAACTGCGGACATGCTGAAAGGAGCATGAAGACCCTCGAAGAATGAAATGAATTCCCTCCTTCCGGAAATCACAATATCACATGTGACAGACACTATAGTGTTACAAAGATAACGCTGACAACTGTGATTCGTGATTGTGATCACGGTGTGACGGATACCACGATGTTCGAGAGATAATGCCGACACCTGATTTGTTGCTGTGATCACAGTGTGACAGATATCACGGTTGTCTCAGAGATAATGCCGATATCTGTGATTCGTCACCATAACGAAAAGCGCATTTCAATACGAGGAATTGAATTTAGGCAAGCTATATGGTTCCCGCAGCCAGTTCCAGAATATGCCTCTCAATTGTCGTCTCTACATCAAAAGAGAGCACCACCTCGGTATCAGAAGAGACCATATAGACACAGTTGGACAGACAGAGAACTCAATCTACTTTCACACTTCCGGCAGATTCATCATTGGAGTCCCCAACAAATTCGAAAATCATTTTTCCCATCGCTATCCCTTGGCGCTGTCCGCAAAGCCTACTCCCGTCTATCTGCTGAAGAACGCAAAAATCGAGCGTCAATTGTTTCAAAGCGTCACAGGGCCTCTAACACTAACTTAACGTGCTCCGCCCTTGGATCTTGTCATCTTTATATTCCGATACCCATCGATACTACTGAAAGTTCCACGCATCCTCATCCTGTGCCCCAGCCTAAAGACAACGTTGGAGCTCACGGATCCTCTATGTTAAGGCGTGAGGAGGACGACCGAGTTCTTGCGCCAGTTGACAGGATAAACCGATACAATCTTCGACCAAAAAGGTGTCAAAGCTTCCTCGAGAGTCTGTCACGACACCCTGTCGACCGGCTTCGCTTTCCCCACTTCTTCAAGTCGTATAGAAAACACTTGGATTTGGACGGGGCACCAGACACGGACTACCTTCCTCCAACCCAATCACCTTCGCCAGATCCATCTGACCGAAGTCCTTCCGTCGTCTCAAGTCT